TCCTCTAGGGCTCAAAATTCCCACATAGCAGGTCCAGGGTCACACTGAGCACCAGACATGAGGCCAGGCCACCTGGAGTCTCTTCTCTGCTATGCAGCTAACCCACTGGGTCATTTCACCTCTCTGGGCCTCAGTTTCCTCATTTGTCAAATAAGGGATTTAGAAGGCAAGTGAAAACCGAAGTGATTGGAAAAGTGCAAAACACTGCACAAACATAAGCCCCCACCTCCAAGGAGGCTTCCTGATTTCTCTAGCTGAAAATATTCAAGCCCTGAGAGGTTCAGGGCAGAGCCAAGTCCCCTGATGGCCAGTGCAAGGGGGAAGACAAAGAGGAGGAGAGAGGAGGGTGCTCTGTGCTGGCTGTCCCCTGCCTGCCAGCCTCCCACTGTGCAGATCAACTGAAATCTGATGGGAGCTAGGAGGAAGGCTCCCTGAGTGCAGGTTGGCATGCAAGCAGGCGTCATCCCAAATGCCTGCCCACCACAAACTCTCTGGGCTGCAGAATATTAACCTGCTTAACTACTGCGGAGATCAGCACTGCTCAGGGAGAAGGGAAGCCCCTCTCATGTGAAAGGTCTCTTTCCAGGAGCAAAAAGCCTTCCCTTACAGATCCATGGCCTTTCTTATTTACTCTTAATAGTAAATCTTCTAAACCAGCCTGGTGAGTAATGTCTAACCTCTCAACTGGAGGCAGTAATGATTCATCCCAAGAGGGATTTCACCCTGTGAGACTAGTAAATAATGCTCCGATTCATGAACTCCACTACTTGGATGTCTGCAAGAGAACAGCTGAGTTAATCAAAAAATAATTAATGTATTGGCTGGCACATTTGGGCAAAATTTGTCACACTTGTCTAAACATCTCCAGACGATCCATCACTGTTGCTGCAAGGAGCCTGGAGAAATCTGCGGCCTGATGAACCAACTGGTTTACACTCACATTTATGAATTTCCCACTGAAAACCTCCTTGAAAAAATTGTGTAGGCAAAGTGAAACACTGAGAGAGAAATTTTTTGCCTCAAAGCAGGTGCAGAGTTGTGGTTAAGAGCGTGGACTCAGGGGCAGGCCAGGTGGCGCAGCGGTTGAGCTCATGTGTTCTGCTTTGGTGGCCTCAGGTTCTTAGGTTTGGATCCTGGGCATGGACCTATGCACTGCTCATCAAGCCATGCTGTGTCGGCATCCCACATAGAAGAACTAGAAGGACTTAGAACTAGCATATACAACTATGTCCTGGGGCTTTGGGGAGAAGGAAAAAAAAAAGAGGAAGATTGGCAACAGAAGTTAGCTTGGGGCCAATCTTCCTCACCAAAAAGCATACCTAAAAAAAAAAAGAGTGTGGACTCTGGAGTCCCAATGCCTGGCCTTGAATTCGTCTCTATGACTCCCAAGGTGGGTGACTCCACCTCTCTAAGCCTCAGTTTCCTTCTCTATAGAATGGTCATAACATCTCCTAACTTAGGTTTGCTCTGACCACTCAATGAGATGATCTAGGTGAAGCACCTGGCACGAGGTAAGCGCCTAATAAGTGTGTGGGGGGAGAGGGAGCTGTGATCTTTCCTGAGGGAGGAGAGGAGAGTCCACATTCCAACAGGGAAGTTGAAAACTAATCCCTAGTTAGTCAACTGACCACGTCTACCACCACCGCCACTACCCCCACAGGAGACGAGGCTGCCCTGACAAGGTACCTACCTCTAGAAGAGATCCCAAAGCAATTCATCTAAATTCTGGAAAACATCAAACATATACAGTAAAAACAGTCTTAAAACTAAGGAGTCTAGCGGAATATATTTAACAAAAGAAGTGCAAGACTTGTATACTGAAAACTACAAAATACTATCAAAAGAAATGAAAAAAGACTTTAAATAAGTGGAAAGACATTCTGTGTATATGGATCAGAAGACTGAACATTCTTAAAATGGCAGTATTCCCCCAAACTGATGCACAGATTCAATGCCGTCTCTATCAAAACCCCAGCAGGCTTCTTTGCAGAAACTGACAAGCAGATCCTAAAATTCATATGGAAATGCAAAGGACCCAGGATAGCCAAACAATCTTGAAAAAGAAGAACAAAGTTGTAGAACTCGTTTCCCAATTTTAAAACTTACTACAAAGCTACAGTAATCCAGGCAGTGTGGTACTGGCATAAGGACAGACATATAGATCAGTGGAACTGAACTGAGAGTCCAGAAATAAACCCTGACATTTACGATCAATTGATTTTCAGAAGGGTTCCAAGACAATTCAAAGGCGAAAGACTAATCTTTTTTTAAACACATGTTGCTGGCATAACTGGACAGCCACATGCCAAAGAATGAAGTTGGACCCCTCACACTGTATATAAAAATTAACAAAAAATGGATCAGAGACTTAAATGTAAGAGCTAAAACTATGGAACTCTAAGAAGAAAACTTAGGAGTAAGTCTCCATGACCTTGAGTTAGACAATGGTTCTTAAATATGACACTAAAAGCACAAGCAACAAAATAATTAAAGCAGACAAATTGGACATCACAATAATTAAAAATGCTTGTCCTTGAGGGGGCCGGCCCCATGTCCGAGTAAGTTCGCACACTCTGCTTCGGTGGCCCAGGGTTTCGCTGGTTCGGACCCTGGGTACAGACATGGCACCGTTCATCAGGCCACAGTGAGGCGGCATCCCACATGCCACAACTAGAAGGACCCACAACTAAAATATACAACTATGTACTGGGGAGATTTGGGGAGAAAAAGTAGGAAAAAAAAAAGATTGACAACAGTTGTTAGCTCAGGTGCCAATCTTTAAAAAAAAAAATGCTTGTGCTTCAAAAGGCACCATCAAGAAAGTAAAAAGACAACCCACAGAATGGAAGAAAATTATTGCAAATCATGAATGTAGAATATATAAAGAAATCTTACCAGTCAACAATAAAAAAACAAATACAATTTAAAAATGAGTAAAGGATTTGAATGGATATTTCTCCAATGAAGGTATACAAATAAACTATCAGCACATGGAAAGATGCTCAACATCATTAGCCATCAGGGAAATGGGAATCAAAACCACAGTGAGACACCACCTCATACCCACTGGGATGACTATAGTCAAAACACAGACAATAACAAGTGTCAGTGAGGATGTAGAGAAATCGGAACCCTCGTACATTGCTAGTGGGAAAGTAAAATGATGCAGCTCCTTTGGAAAGCAGTTTGGCAGTTTCTCAAATAATTAAACATAGATTATAAATACAGATATATATCATAGACATATAAATAATATTGTATGATTTCATTTATGTGAAATGTCCAGAGTAGGCACATCCATAGAGCCAGAAGGTAGGTGAGTGGTTGCCAGGGCCCAGGAGGAGAAAGGGAGGGGGCTACCAGGAGTGATGCTAAAGGGTATGGGGTTTCTTTTTGGAGTGATGGAAATATTCTGAAATTAGTGGTGATAGTTGCACAACTCTGTGAATATACTAAAACCACTGAATTATACACTTGAAAGGGGTGAATTTTATGGTCTATGAATTATATCTCAATAAAGCTCTTATTTAAAAACAAACTATGGGGTGCAGGTGCCCTCAGTGACTCCAACGTGGCCGCCTGCATCCTTATCATCTGGCTGACATGGTGAGCTGTAGAAGGGAACCCATGCCTCTGTTCTGTTCTGTCCGGTTCTCCTCCCCAACCTCCCTATCTCAGAGCACTACCCTCATAACCGAAATTCCTGCGCACTATCACCAAGGAGCAGCAATAACCAGAACAACAACACAGCTCGTGCTTATTGTGAATTATGCGTTAGGTATTGCTGGAACCTCGGCCACACAGGCCAAGCCCCACCAGCTCTCAGCTGGGTCACCATAGGAAATCTGCAGGGGACACAGAGGGGTCTTCAACGGCTCAGCATGTATCCCTCACAACAGCACTCAAGGCCCGATAGGATCAGCCCCCATCTCACTTTTTGGACCTCAGCTCTCTAACTCTCCCTCATTTCGCTCCAGTGCACTGGTAGGGTTGCCAGATAAAATACAGGACACCCAGTTAAGTTTCAACTTCAGAGAAGCAATGAATAATTTTTTAGTGGAAATATGTCCCAAATATTGCATTACTCATTGTTTGTCTGAAACTAAAATTTAACTAGGTATCCTGTAGTTTTATTTGCTACACCTGGCAGCCCTGCACATTGGCCTCCAGGCCATACCTGAAACACATGAAGCACACCCTGCCCTCGAGAGCTCTGTGTTTGCCCTTCTCTCAGCCTGAAATTCGCTTCCCCCAGATATTCACATGGCTCCCTTTCAAACTTCAGGTTTTGGTTGAAACAGGGCCTCATCAGAGGAGTGTCTCCAGACCAAGTTCTCCCTGGCACGCCCTCACATTTAGCATTCATCACCACCTGACACGGTATATATTTAGTTCATTGAATGCCTTCCCCTTAGTCGACCCGAAACTCCCTCAGGGCAGCGCTTCTTTTATTCACTGATGCATTCCCACTGCTTAGAACAAGGCCTAGCATGGAGCAGACAGTAAGTTAATGTTTATTGAGTGAATATAGAAGTGTTGAGCATGGGTCATCCCATCTAATGGTCCCAAAAGTCCTATGAGACAAATACTGCCATCAAGCATTCTTCATAGATGAGGGATCTGAGACACAGCAAAGCCAAATAACTCACCCAGAAGCCCACTGCAGCCAATGGCGGGACTGGTTCCGACACAGGAGCCAGTCCCCAGAGCCCATGTTCTGGCCCACCTCACTGTAGCAGCCCATCGTTACAGCAGAGGGGCAACTGGGAGCTAAGGCAGCGGGAGTCTCTGTCTCCCTCCCATTTCAATTATTCCGGGTTAGAGGGAGGAAGGAACTATCGACATGTCTCAGTGTCTGTATTTGCATCAGACTCCTTAATCCCAGAATTTAATTACACTACTTGATTTTGCCTGCACAATTATTGTTCAACGTAAAGTGTATCAAATAACCACTTAAGCACCCCTGTAATAGAGAAGTCTATGTGGATGTCTGTACTCACTTTTATTTCTTCTTGAACATCAGAACTGCGGAAATTTAAATCAGGTTGCTCTTTCATAAACTGGTGAAAATAACATTGGTTTCGTACTTCGTCAAAGTGCCAACTGGAGTTTCCATATACGCTTAACTAGCAAACAGAAAATAGCAAATCAGTTACTTAGCACTATTCATATGATGGTATTGCCCACAAAGAAATGATAATTGCCATCCCTGGCCCCATGGAGGCTGAGAGCACAAATCCTCAGAATGTTTCTTCTAGAGAGAGCCCTAGGTAAAATAATTCCCTACAATGCCACCGGCTAGCCTAATCCCCTAGAGACGTGTTTGTGCAGGAGAAGCTGTTCATAACAACCACAACAGCAAAGCAACGCTCTCAAATGCAGGACAAGGGCAACTTCAGGAGCAGATATTTCTAACATATTTTCTTGAACCTGCTGTCCAGGCTCTGGACCCCTGTTTGTGAAGAAAAGCAAATGATGGTCAACTTGGGAGAGAGACACATTCCATTGGTCTTGGAGTTTGAATCCAGATAGAGTGAATATTTAAACTGTGTCCTCCAAAAAGTATTTGAATCATTCACTTAAAAACTCCACTAGCCTTCAGGAAGAAAAGAAATCTAGCCACTTCAAGTGTTGGTATCCAGCAGCATCCGACACTGGTGCTGACATCCGTGGCTCCACAGCATGACTCTCCTGGTTGACCCTCTCACATCCCTTGCCACTCTCTCAGTCTACTCTGAGGTTCCCTAAATGTGACAGTTCCTCAGGGCTCAACTTGGGCCATTTGTCCACCTCCAGCTAAAGAGAACATCTGGACAACACTCAGAAACCGAGGGATTTTATCTAATCTTTTTCTTTTGAGTTGGAAGACCTAGTCACCCTGGGTCCGCATTTCCATGGCAACAACCGGCTGAAGCTAAGTAGTAGCTGCTGCCTTTCGAGGAAACACACCCTCATCAGCTCACCTCATGGCCCACCTGGACACAAACCAGGATACGATATTTACAGCATATATAAACCAAGAAAATACCGGTATCCAGAATACAAAAAGAACTCCACAAATCTACTTCAAAAGGACAAACTATCTGACAAAAAATGGGAGAAAGAAACAAAAAACAGATGTTTCACAGAAATGGAAGCTCAAGTGAATAAACGTATGAAAAGATGTTCAACATCATTAGTAATTAGGTACAGATAAAATTAAGACTTCAATGTGATAACAATTTATGTTCACTTGGTAAAAATTACAGTCTGGCAATGCCAGCAATTCATGAAAATGTGAATTTTTTATACTGCTGTTGGGGATATAAATTGATATCCCCACTTTGATAATCAATTTGGCATTATCTTGTAGAGTTGAGCATGTGGTATCCTGCACCCAGCAATTTCACTCCATTTAATTTCACTTTCATTTACTCTTAAGAAGCTCATCACATGCGCCCCAGGAGAAATAGATTAATGAGAACGTTTACAACATCATTAGTAATAGTAAAAAAAACTAGCAAGAACCCAACCACCCATCAGCTGAAGGGTAGATAAGTAAATCATGGAATATTCAAACAATGGAATATTATACAACAGTGAAAATGTATGGGCCACGGTTACCAGAAACTACATGAATGAGTATTAAAACCAATGAGTGAAAAAAAGCTACTTACAGAAGACTACATGTAGCATGCACTTCATGAAGTTCAAAACAGGAGAAACTAAATAAATTTTTTTTTTAAATGTAGCATATGTAGGATAGGCAAAAACAAAAAGCAGGGACAAAGAAAATCCCAAAATTCAAGGTAGTAGTTACCTCTGAGAGGAGGCATAGGGAGGGACAGGCAGGAGCCCCCAGTGGTTTCAGCAGTGCTAGTTATGTTCAAGGTCTTAATTTGGGGATGGGTTCACTGATGTTCACTATATTATTATCTTCCCCAGCTTAGGAATATATTACGTATATATTTAAATAGTTTTATTCAGGTACAACTGAATACAATAAACTACGCATATTTAAAGCATACATTGTGATCAGTTTTGACATATGAACCTCTCACCACAATCAAAATCGTGAACAGGCCCATTCTTTGTGATCCCTAATCCCACTCTCCCATTCCTCTCCATCTCTCTCCCATCCCTAAACAACAACTAGTCTACTTCCTGCCATTATAGGTTAAGCTTGCATTTTCTAGAATTTCATGTACATGTAATCATGTAGCGTGTTTTTTTGGTCTGGACTCTTTCACTCGTCAGAGTTACTATGAGATTCATCCATGTTGCTGCGTGATTCAATAGTTCACCCCCTTTGATTGCTGAGTAGCGTTCCATTGTATGGTTAAACCACCAGGTGTTTATACATCTATCATATATTTTTTTAATGTATCAACTATTACATTTTTTAAAAATCACACAACTTTGGCTACAGTGGAGAATTGATGGAAGGATGGAAAAACTGGATGCCAAAAGAGGCAGCTGTTACAGTCCCCTAGGCAAGAGATGATATGGTTTCAACTACGGGTGGCAATTTTTGAAAGCAGACTGTGGAGTTGGACTGACTAGATCCAGTCCTCAGCCCTTTCATTTACTAGCTTTGTGACCTTGGGCAAAGTACATAACATTTCTTTGTCTCAGTCTGCTCATCTGCAAAACAGAAATTAAAACCTAGCTCATAGGGTTGTAGGGTAGATTAAATGAATTAATAAATAAAAAACACTTAGTACAGAGCCTGGCACATGGTAAGTATTTAGGAAATGTTTGCTAATTTCAGTATCATTTTAACAAGTGGGTAGGTTGGGAAAAAGAAAACTTATGGAGGTAAAACTGCCAGGACTTGCTGGTGACCCGTTCACCAGGCTGCATTTTGGGACCATTCGCTGAACCTGGGATACGGGAGGCTGGGAAGAGAAGATCTCACAGATGGCTTTGATACGTGTCAATTTTGAATACCCTTGGTCATCTAAAAGTTGATGCCCAGGAGCCAGCCTGCTTAAATGTTCATGGAGAAGGTCAAGAAGAGAGAAGGAGAGAGCGGAGTGGGAGGAGATGATCCAGAGTAAAAGGCTCCACAGAAAGCAGGAGAGAAAATGAACCAGAGCAGGTGGAAGGACTGACCTGGGACAGGAATAGAGTTGCCAGATAAAATACAAGACATCCAGTTAAATCTGAATTTCAGATAAACAATGAATAATTATTTATATGAGTATGGTTCATGTAATATTTTATACTAAGAAATTATGCATTGTTTATCTAAAATTCAGATTTCATCAGGCTTCCTGAATTTTTATCTGTAAATCTGGTAACCCCCAGCCAGGAGGGACATGGTTTCTGCTGTAAAAGAAGTGAACCGGAAGAGGGCGGGAGTGGGGACAGGCAGGTTTGATGGCTTCTATTCTCTCTTTGAAGTAGAGTTTGCTGCTGAGAGTGATAAGACGGGGAGGAGGTAGGTAGGATATTTGAAGAGGAGGAAGGGCGTGTTGATCAAGTGGATTTGGTCAAATTCCCAGGAAGACTCTGGACGGCTCAGTTCAAACGGGGATAATGAGTGTGTGATGCCTCCAGAGCCTCAGATGCCAAGGTTCAGGCAGACAAGTAGATGGTAGGGTTCATTTATGGCTAAGGTTTTGTTGGACAAGGGAGTCAAAAAGTCAGAAAGGCAAAGGGGTCTGGAAAGTAGCAACACAGTTACTGAACTAATGGGATCTGGAGTCTAAGTTAGACAGGGTGGGAAGGAGGGCAGGAGAGGCTAACAGAGACTATAGCTTTTAATTTGCTAGAACACATCAGCTCTACACTGAAATCAGAAATCCAAATGACATTAGGAGGCTTGGGTACCTTATTTCTATTTCTTTGGGAAACTTTTTCCCCTTCCAGTAAACTATACCAATTAATTTTTTCCTTAAAAGGACTTTATAAACAATCAGTTTAATCCCTGGAGATCTGCCCATTTTCACTTTGTAAATCAGGCAAGTTGGCACTTACCCAGTTGTTGGGTGGTTTGGTTATACCATTTTCCTGAGTACAGTCATGCCAGATATAATAATCCGTATATTTCCCTGTCCGGGTCCGACTCAACTGAAACCAAGGATGTTTATCACTCGTGTGGTTTGGTATGAAATCAATTATTAATTTTAAACCTAATAAGTGAAAACATTTCAAATGTTAGGAAAAGATTCTATTAGAATAATAGATGACAGTTAAGGAAAAAACGCTTTAAGTAAGCATTTGGAGAAATGCTTTCCCCAGCCTCCACCCGCATCCCATTCATCTTCCACTCAATTTACCTTTATCATGTATGGCTGCAAGCAGATTCTCAAAATCTTCCATTGTTCCAAAAATGGGATCGATGTCTCGGAAATCTTCAACACCATGTCGGAAATCTTTAAGGGATGATTTATAAAATGAAGTAATCCAAATAGTTTTTATATTTAAAGTTGCGATGTAGTCCAGTTTATCTTGAATACCTGAAGAAAAAAGTCAAGGCCATGAAAAATAAGTAATTTGGTTTTTAAGTTGAAGGATTAAAAGTAAAAGGAACATGGCTGAGATTGAAATATTTATATTGAGACAGAAATATTTGGAATTTTGTTGAATTTGAGTGAAATTCAAATAGCAAGGTCTAGTTCTATAAACAGTAAGAAATTAGTCTTTTAGCAATAACCTTTGACCTTTAACATAGATGCATAACATTAAAAAATCTGGGGCCGGCCAGGTGGCACAGCGGGTAAGTTCACACACTCAGCTTTGGCAGCCCTGCATTCGCTAGTTTGGATTCTAGGCATGGACCTATGCACCGTTCATCAAGCCATGCTGTGGCAGGCATCCCACATATAAAATGGAGGAAGGTGGGCACGGATGATAGCTCAGGGCCAGTCTTCCTCAAAAAAAAGAGATCTATCTGTGGCTTGTTCATATTTTCTATTTCAAGCCAAGAAGACAGTATTGTTAATTTATTCTCCACATGGTTTTTGAGCCTAATCTAGGCCAGGTGATGGGCTGAGTGCCAAGGTACAAAGAATAATACATGGCCCCTGATGGGCACACGATCTAAGTTGCACTGTCCAGTGTAACAGCCACTCGCCACATGTGGCTTTGAGCACTTGCAGTGTGACTAGTCTAAACCAAGATGTGCCATAAATGTGAAACATTGGACTTTGAAGACTCAGTATGAAAAGAAAGACTGTAAAATATCTTAACATTTTGATATTGATTATATGTTGACATGATATATTGGATATATTGGATTAAACAAAATATATTATTAAAATTAATTTCACGTTTCTTTTTTACTTTTTTTAATGTGGCTCCTACAAAACTTACAATTATATACGTGATTCACATTTTATTTCCTTCGGACAGTGCTGAAGCCAAGAATTTATACAAAACAGAATTCTAGACTTGGCTGAGATACCGGAATGAAACTTTGATCTTGGAATTTTGCAGGATAGTTAGCAGATAGTGTGTTTTTTGCTCCTAGTTCAGAGCCCTAAATGCAGATTCAGAGACTTGAGTCTGGTATTCAACCTCCAGTAACTTTCTGTGGGACCCTATGCGGCTTCCTACAGTCAGAGCTTGTCAGAGGGCACACAGCAGACTGGAGGTCACTGAGACCAAAGCACAGAGCTCTTCCCCTCTATCAGGCTGCTTACTTTTGCTCTCTTTGTACCTCACTTCCCCCATATGGGTGGCTGTGAGACCCCACAGAGTGTCAACTGGCAACAAAAGGATTTTTATTTAAGTCAGAACAACAGTACAATATAGCTTAAGAACAGGCACAAAGGAACAGGATGATAAAAACAAAGGGACTGGACAGTCACAAGTAAACAGGGGATCCCAGATCCACATTCAGAGGACAGAAGGCAGCCACCAAAAACTGAAACCCGGAAGGGATTCTTCAGATATTGACAACAAAATCCCGAGGACCTCAACGACAAATACCTGTCCATTACAGGAAGCAGCCAGTCCCTCCAGGAGAAGTTACTGGAAACGACAAGAGCTAAGTAGAAGCTGCCCCACGTCTAGGGAATTTAGGGTTATCTGGAAGGAGATTACAAGGGAGGGCCAGGAAGTGAGGAGTGTACCTTGGAGTTTAGGGATTCTAGCTCTATTCCATCAAAAAATCACTTTCGTGAAGTGCTTACTGCATAAAAGGCAGCAGGTGCTAGGGCCACGTGGCGCGGCAGGGGTGTGGAAGGGAAGTCACCAGACATGTTCCAAGGCAATATCAGAGGGTACCACAAACACGGTGCAAAGCCCCCCAGGAGCTCAGGGAGGGGAGCAGAGCTCTAATAGGGGGTTACACACAGACTAATGCAGGGCACGGGTTAGAGCTGCACCTGGAAAGACAGACAGTATTTCAATTAGTGAAGATGCAGGAAGATTAAAAAAGAGAGAAAATTGATGTGAGTGTGAAAAAGAAAAGCCTTTTATTAGTTATTAAGGAAAGCTGGAGGTTTCAAGAGTTTATGTGTAAGATTTAAAGTTAGATTAAGCTCATTCCCACTTCCCACACTCTATTAAATCATTCTGTTTTATTTTGTCCAAATCAAATATTTTTATCAAAAATAACCTTGCTATTTATTGTTTCTTATTGTTGCCCTTAACCAGAGTGACCTTATCAACCAGCTGCCCAGGACGGTTCTAGTTTGTGCCTGCCATGAAGCATAATTTTACTTTTTAAAGCATCCCAATTTAAGCAATAAATTATAAGTATGTTTACACATAACTCACTAGGAAATTATTAGCATAACTTCAAAAAGGTAATTCTTTATTATTTTTCTTTACTAATATGAATATTGTTGGGTTTTTTTCTTTTTCTTTCTTTCTTTTTTTTTTTGGTGAGGAAGATTGGCCCTGAGCTAACATCTCCTGCCAATCTTCTATTTTGTATGTGGGATGCCACCATAGCATGGCTTGATGAGCAATGTGTAGGTCCCTGTCAGGGATCCAAACCCACAAATCCTGGGCCACCAAAGCACAGCGCATAAACTTAACCACTACCCCACTGGGCCAGCCCCCTGAATATTGTTTTAAATAATCCTAATTCAAGTAATGACCAATACACACTGCTATGCTTTTTTTTTCCTTTCCTTCATTTTGCAGGATTTAAACTTTAAAGACTCAGCCTACACCTTTTAAAGACATCAGATAATCAACTATATTTAACCCAATAATCAACTATATCAACTATAAAGATAATCAACTAGAAAGTGCACAGACACAGGCAACATTTCAGGAGGAAACCTGCTCATGTAAGAAGTTAGAACTGATGACCCATTAAGCACAGGCATACTTCATGGGCAATAAATTAAACAACTCTCTGGAGGCTCAAAGGTCTCCAGCAAGTAGCCTTTTGTTCTATGGGAAGAATTAGCGGTTCTGTTGAGTGGCTTTTAAAAACACCATAAACAAGGAAAAACTTGGCATGCCAGTCATATTGGAGTGTGCTTACTGCACAACTCAGGAATAATTCATTTTTAAGGATTCAGAGAGCCATAAACCAATGTCATCCTGGCCCAGCCCTAGACTCTTTCCAGGCACACACCTTTTAGATCTCCGTTCCCATCCTTGTCACTGTCCTTGAAAGATCTCGGGTAGATCTGGTACATGGGCCCAGCCTGCCACCAGTCAAGGCACTTTGGAGAGATGGCGATGATGGCTACGGTGGCCCCAGTGAGCACAAGCACGGAAGCCACCGTGAGCCAGAAGATGATCTCCCGGGGCACCCGGTAGCGGGCCTGGTGCGAGAACTGGAATAGCACCTCCTTGGGCATCCCTGCATAGGGCCGGATGTCCTTCAGGTCGGGCTCTGCGGGGCCAAGGATGTGCAGGGCAGTGTGCTGTGGGCTGTCGGCTGGGCTGTCTGGATCCGGGTCCCTCTCTAGGATGTCTTCATTTTGGACAAACCCGTTGTTTGTCTGGCCTCCCTTTATACTCATTCCGATGGAGTCTTTCTTGCTTTTGTCCTCAGCCATGTCTCACGGTCTTACCCCTGCAGAGTGCCTTCCTGAAATACAGAGGTGGGAAGGGAGCTGGCTGAAATGCTTGGCTGTGTTAATGAGCTTTACGTGGTTTATAAATAAACCTGGCTGGACAAAGTCCAGCCAAGGAAGAAAGGGTAAAGGTAAAGGGGGTTATAAAAATATTCTGTTTACACCCCTGAGGCTGATATAGCTAGAGTCACAGCACTGAGGGGGCTCAGACCTGAACTGGTCAAGGGGCTGAGAGGAGGGGAAATGGGAAGAAGAGGCAGGGTTCCACTGCAACTTAAGATGTTACTTGATTGAATAACCAATGTCCACAGCAGCATTATTCACAATAGTCAAAAGGTGGAAACAAGCCAAGTGCCCATTAACAGATGAATAGACAAAGAAAATGCGACATATGAATACAGTGGCATATTACTCAGCTTTAAAAAGGAAGGAAATTCTGACATGCTACAACATGGATGAACCTTGAAAACATTATGCTAAGTGAAAGAAGCCAGACAGAAAAGGACGGATATTGTATCCACTTACACGAGGTGCCTAGACAAATCCATAGAGACAGAGAGTAGAAGGGAGCTTACCGGGGTTGGGAGGAGGCGGCTGCTGGGGAGTTATTTAATGAGGACAGAGGTTACATTTGGGATGATGAAAAAGTTCCGGAGGTGGATGGTGTTGATGGTTGCACAAAGATGTAAATGTACTTAATGCCACTGAACTGCACACTCACAAAAGTTAAAGTAGTAAATTTTATGTTATATATATTTTACCACAATAAAACAATTAGCTTTAAAATTTTTCTTTTAGCAGGGCTGGCCCCGTGGCCGAGTGGTTAAGTTCGTGCGCTCTGCTGCAGGAGGCCCAGTGTTTCGTTGGTTCGAATCCTGGGCCCAGACATGGCACTGCTCATCAAGCCGCGCTGAGGCAGCATCCCACATGCCATAACTAGAAGGACCCACAACGAAAAAGACACACTATGTACCGGGGGGCTTTGGGGAGAAAAAGGAAAAAATAAAATCTTTAAAAAAAAAAAAAATTTTTCTTTTAGCTAGGTATGAGAAAAAGAAACAAATACTGAATTTTGCAAGGGAAAACAGGCTTTTCCGTATCTTTTGTTTTGAAGGTCTCTTCTCTTCCTACAAATCCAAGTTACTGAAGCTAATTTTATCTCAGTTCACGCCAACCCTATAAATATCTATTTACATGCTCAATTCGCCTCCAGGTGTCTTCAGTCTTGTTTGATATTTTCAGAGAAGGAATTGCCTGCCCATTCTTGGACGCACTTTCCAAAGATTGGGGTTGAGGAGGAGAAAGGGTTCCACGTCTAGGGAGTTCAAGTGCTTTCCAATAGTAAACAGTTCTTCACACAAGCACTAAAGAGTTGTTCAATCATTGACAGGTGTAAAATGCAACATTTGCCCCCGTGAGATAACCGCATTAAAGTTAGATGGGCTTTCCTAGAAGATTCTGTAAGCCTTCAAAGAATGTGATGATTCACTGTTCTCATTTAACCAATGACACTTAAACAGCCCTATGAATCATTTGATCAGATAACAAGAAGTTTTTTTCTTTTAAATGTTATTTGCATTCCTGACATTCCTGTTGTTTTGTAAAGTGACATAGCAGCAGTATATGGTACAGAGAAATGAACTATTTGATTTTGAACAAGCTGCTTTTAAAAATGAGTAAATCCCAATACCCAGCTCATTGAATGCATCCAATAAGTGGCATCTCTCATTATTACTAATTATGCATATTGTGTACTTTTTAAAAATCAAAGGAATTTATCTTTTATATCTTGAAATTGCTTTATCTCAAACACATAAGGATAATTTTCACAACAGGAGCTAATTCTTGAAATTCAGTTACTATTTGGGGAAAAAACAGTGTGCAAAAATACCCACAGTTTTAAGATAATTTTAAGTTATAAGAAATAACTTTTAATTATAAATTCTTAAATTCTAAGTGTACAATCATATAAATGCAGAAAAACTCACATCATATCAATATGCTTTCATGACAGAAATGTTCCATTTCAACTTCTCTACATTTTATTTAAAATAACAACAATGCTACTTTGAAATTCCAGAACATATAAACTAGAATCTTTTAAAAAACAATCTGGAATAATTGTTCTGTCTCTGGTGGGAAGTTTTTTTAAACGATAAAAGTAACTACAAAAGAAGATTGCTTGAATTGATTGAAAATTTTTGAATTTATTATATTACAAAACATACTAACTGAAGATCATACGACAAATTGTGAAATATATTGGTAACAAATATGCCAAAGAACTTATGTCTTTAACGTTAAAGGTATGTATATTTTGTTAGACAATATGTATACCTATATGAAATTTCATAATATCAATTTAAAAATATAAATTTTAGTAGAAAACTTGGAAAAAAGAATATAAACAGACATTTCACACCAATCAACTCCCTAATATCAGAGAAATAAACAAGCATTTTCAATCACAATGGCAAAGAACTTCTAAAAGATAATAGTGCCGGCAAGGGTCCAGTGTGAAGTGACATCATAATTCTAGAAAGTAATGTCACAATGTGTATCATGAATTTTAATCCTGCCAGATTTTAAAATAAAAACTCCAGAAAAATAAAGAGTTGATACTAAAGAAGGGATTAAGTCAAAAGATCAACTGAACAGATTGGATTCACCCAAAATAGAGCCCTATACAGAAGGGAATTTAGAATAAGATAAGGCAACATTTCCCATCAGTGAGGAAAGGAAAGATTACTTAGTGAATGATGTTGGACGACTGGATAGCTATTTGGAAAAGAAAATAAAGCTATACAGCTTACCTTATTCCTGACATCAAAATGTTTGTTTGGGTTTTTTTTTAAAGATTTTATTTTTCCTTTTTCTCCCCAAAGCCCCCCAGTACACAGTTGTACATTTCTTTTAGTTGTGGGTCCTTCTAGTTGTGGTATGTGGGATGTTGCCACAGCATGGCTTGATGAGCAGTGCCATGTCCGTGCCCAGGATGTGAACTGGCAAAACCCTGGGCCACCGCAGCAGAGCGCACGAACTTAACCCCTCGGCCACGGGGCTGGCCCCCAAGATAAGTTTTATGTGGATCAGATTTAAAAGTAAAAGTAAAACTGTAAAAATGCTAGACAGAAATTTGTGTATTTTAAAAAAATAATCTTGGAGTTAGAAAGCCTTCCTAAACGTAACACAAAATACAAAACCTAGACCCCATAAAGGAAAAAACTGATAAATTTTATTCCAAAAATTGAAAACAAACAGAACAATCCACAAAGATAAAAGGCAAATGGCAAGCTGGAAGAAAAGATTTTCACAAATATGACAAACTAATTTCCATAATATAGAAATTGATTATACAAATTAACACTGGAAAATAGAAAAATGGACAAAAGATATAAACAGTTGACAGAAAAAAAATACAAGTGGTTAATAAACATGAAATGTAAATTTCACTAAAAATTAAAGACATAGAAATAAAAATAAAAAGGATATACTACATTTAAAGTATAATTTTGGCCAAAATGAGAAAGCTTGATAATACCCAGCATCAACACATCAAAATAGGGAACCAGCACTCTCATACATTTGTGGTGGGAATGTGAGCTAGCGCAGCCTTTGTGGAGAACAATTTAGGAGTATATGTCAAAATTATAAACTGCATAACCTTCAACTCTGCAACTACACTGCTAAAACTTTATCTCAGTGATGTAACCAGTAAGAAATATGTACAAGGATGAACACTGCAACAAAATTGGAAACAATCTAAATATCCATCAATACGGAATTATCTACATAAATTACGACATATTCAGACAATGGAATACCACATAGCTCCTACAAAGAACAAGTTTATTTATCTGTGCTGATAACAAAAAATGTTTAAAATATAGTGTAAAGTGGAAGAACTGTTTTAAAACAGTATGTGCAGTACAATCAGAATGGTGTGGAGGAAAAAAGGTACATGCATGTGTGTGTGCATATTGAATCTTCAGCTAGTGGTTGACTGGAAACTGAGAATAAGAGAAGGATGACAATAATCCTTAGACTTTTACTTTTCACTTGACTCTGACCAACTTAATTGCCCCAGCATATATGACTTTTGTAATAAAGAGAGGGGAGAAAATGTTCATTTCCTTTAACTCAGTAATTCCAGTTCAAAAAAAAATCTATCTTAAGGAAATAACTCAAGACAGGGACAAAAATTTATGTATAATAAAGCTTATTAATTACAGTGTTATTCATAATAGCAAACATTGGAAACAACCAAAGTGTTCAATGATACCAGACTAACTAAATAAATTATTGTACATCCATGTGATAGAATATTAGTCATTGAGCATATTTTCAAAGATTTTTAACGACATGGAAGAAATCCCACATTAGCATGTTGAGTGAGAAAATGCAGGATATAAAGAAATTATCCCAATTATGTGAAAAAAAAATTCATACATGTTTGTAAAGTCCTATTAGAAAACATGTTTAGTGTTTATCTCTGGGTTCTAAAATTATGGGTGACATTCATTTTGTACTTTAAACTTTTTCAGATTTTTCTAATTTTTTTGTAACAAATATGTGTTACTCGTCCATTGGAAAAAAATTATTTAGGGAACCCCGAGTTGAGAGTCTACCTAGAACTTCCCGTCAGGTGGTAAAGTTCCGTATAAGGTGACTCCTAGCAATAGCCACCCAAAATTTATAAACATCCCATATCTAAAAGAAAGAGAAAAAAGCAAACTTCGAAAAGCAGAAAGAAAACATGGATTCACTGAAACACTAGAGGGAAGAGGAAGTGGGCAGTAATCTGGAGAAGATACCTACAAAGCTGAGAATTCCAAGCCAGTACAAAGGTATCGGTATTACTTACTTTCCAGGAGATTTAAAACGAAATATTGATTGTAGAAGCCAAACACACTACTGCTTAAACTTGTAAACACGAATACGGAAGAAGAACACTAAGGAAGCTTTAAGAGCTAACTCAGATAATCAGAACCAAGAATCAGAGATAATAAAGATAAACTCGCTCAATAAACTCAAATTCCAAGTGAGTTACGCAATCACGATAATAGAGCAAAAAAGAATAAAATATCTAGAAAACAGAATAATGAGGAATACCACAGGAGCCAGAAACATCTTGCAGTTATAGAAAGAAACATATAGAAAGCAGCAATCAATGAAAAAAAAAAATACATATATACAATGACTTTCAAAGCCATCATACCATAAAGACTTCTACTCAGCAGCAAACCCACCAAAGTGACACATGGCATGTAACCTGTCAGAATTGTGAACATTTACAATAGAAGAAACATTTTCCATATTTTATTGACCTGTTTACAGCCTCTGTGAGCTAAGGGTAGGATCTGCAGCATAGTCACCTTTAAGCTCCCAGCATCTAGCTCGGTGCCTGATACATTATTAAATGAATAAAAGAATAGTCCCTTAAAAATGGATAGACCTAACCCTATGCCAAAGAAGCAGGAGGCGGAGGAAGAGGAAGAGGAAGAGAAAGAGAAAGTGGAAAGTATACTCTGCACAAAAACATAGATTTTTATCACTTAGTCAAATATTCTTACCTTGGTACAGTTCAATGAGTGAAATTTTAAGTCAGAAGAAGTAAGATTCAAGCCGTGCCTCTACCACTTGCTCTCTGCTCGATCTCAGACAAATCTGCCAGCTTCTTTAAGCCTCTGTTCCCTCACTGTAAAATTTAATTTGGTTCCAGGGTTAATGTTATAAATATAGTCTAAAGCAAAATGGTTTTTAAAACAGTTCCAATTAGAGGGAAACAGAAAAATAGATTTGTCCCAGGAAGAGAGAGAAGTTCAACTTATATAACCATTGAAATGCAAGAATATTTAAACACGTTTTTGCCGGCAGTTAAACTATTTTAAAACATTTTGATAACCAAATGTGACAAAACAAATAGCAAAAGAAATGTTAACAGGACATGAAACTGTGACAAATGTCACAATGAAAATTTACTTTCCTTCACATATAAAGAATTAATGCAAACACATAAAATCAATAGCTAAATTACATTCAATAAAAGATTAAAAGAGGGGGCTGGCCCCGTGGCCGAGTGGTTAAGTTCGCGCTCCGCTGCAGGAGGCCCAGAGTTTCGTTGGTTCGAATCCTGGGCGCGGACGTGGCACCGCTCATCAAGCCATGCTGAGGCAGCGTCCCACATGCCACAACTAGAAGGACCCACAACAAAGAATATACAATTATGTACCGGGGGGCTTTGGGGAGAAAAAGGAAAAAAATAAAATCTTTAAAAAAAAAAAAAGATTAAAAGAGATTGCAAAAGATATATATGAAATTAACATCACATAAAAGTCATTGCAGGAGAGTACCTTCTTGATGAAATTAAAAAACACAAATTAAAACATTGGTAAATTCCATGATAGATTAATTGCATTAATTAATTAATTGCCCAATTAATGGCATCCCTGTATCCATGCCTTTTGCCCCATAATTTCTTTTCTTTTTTTTTTTTTTTTGAGGAAGATTAGCCCCAAGCTAACATCTGCTACCAATCCTCCTCTTTTTTTGCTGAGGAACACTGGCCCTGAGCTAACATCCGTGTCCATCTTCCTCTGCTTTATATGTGGGACGCCTACCACAGCATGGCTTGCCAAGCAGTGCCATGTCTGCACCCGGGATTCAAACCAGCGAACCCCGGGCCACCGAAGTGGAACGTGTGAACTTAACCGCTGCGCCATTGGACTGGCCCAGCCCCATAATTTCTTAGTCTCTACCACAGTCTGGGCTTGGACATGTGGTTTGCTTTGGCCAATGAAACAATAACAAACTTGACACACAAAGAGGCTTTAAAAAGTGTTTGTGCATTTCTGCTCCTCTTTTGGACTGCTGCCATCACCAAGAGTTTACACCCAGGCTAGCCTGCTGCAGGATGCGGGAGAGATTTGGGAGATGTGCAAGAGTGTGGGATCTTCCCATCCAGGGGCTTCTAGACCAGCCAGTCCCCAGGCAGCCAGCCAATGGACCACAGATGCTTGAGCAAGCCCAGCTGGGATCAGCAGAGCCTAGTCCAGGTCAGCCACACAGCCTCCTCAACAACTATCATGCCAGGGAAATTAATAAATTGTTGGGTTACTTTTTGGGTGTGGCCTTCAAAAAACAGCTTTATTGAGGGATATCTGACATAGAACAAACTCATTTAAAGTATACCATTTGATAGGTTTTAACATGTGTGTACACTCATGAAACCATCACCACAATCAATATAATGAACACGTCTATAATTTGCAAGTTTCCTCCTCCTGCCCCTTTGTACTCTTTCCCTCCTACCCCTCCCTACACCCCCAGCACCCCCCTCCCCACACGTCTCCAGGCAACAACTGATCTGCTTTCTATCACTATAGATTAGCTTGCATTTTCTGGAATTTTATATAAACAGAATCATACATAAAGTATGCACTTTTTGTCTGGTTTCTTTCCCTCAGTATAATTATTTTGACATTTATCCATCTTGTGTGTATCAATATTTCATTCTTTTTTATTAGCGAATAAGCTTTTTTTCTTAGAGCAGTGTAGTTTTACAGAAAAACTGAGCAGAAACTACAGAGAGTTCCTGTATACACTCCTCTTCCCCTACTCCCACAACTCTTTTATTCTTAGCCTCTTGCATTACTGTAGTACATTTGACGTACAATTGATGAACCAATATTGATACGTTATTAACTAAAGTTCATAGTTTACATTAACGTTCACTCTTCGTGTTGCCCAGTTTGACAAATACATATGTCATGTATTAATCATTACAGTAGCATATGGAATAGTTTCACTTTCTTAAAAATATCCTGTGCTTCATCTATTCATCCCTCTCTCCCCCTGTACCCATGACAACCACTGATCTTTTCACTGTCTCTATAGTTTTGCCTTTTCCAGAACGTTATATAGATGGAATAATACAGTATAAACCTTTTCGTACTGGCTTCTTTCACTTAGTAATATACATTCAAGTTTCCTCCATGTCTTTTTGTGGCTTAACAGATCATTTCTTTTTAGTGCCATATAATATTCCATTGTCTGGATGTACCACAGTTTGTTTCTCTATTCATCTACTGAAGGGCATCTTAGTTGCTTCCAAGTTTTGGAAATTATGAATAAGGTTACTCGAAACAATCAGGTGCAGGTTTTTGTGTGGACATAAGTGTTCAACTCATTTTGGTAAATACCAAGGAGTGTAACTGCTGGATTGTGCAGTAAGATTATATTTTGCTTTGTAAGAAACTTCCAGGTTGTCTTTCCAAGTGGCTGTACCATTTTGCATTCCCAACAATGAATGACAATTCCTGTTGCTCTACATCCTTGCTAACATTTAGTGTTGTCAATCTTTTGGATAGCAGCCATTCTAATACAAGTATAGTGGTATCTCATTGTTGTTTAGTTAATTCCTTTTTATTGCTGAGTAGTATTTCATTGTATGAAAATACCACTGCTTATAACTGAACACTGGGTTTTTTTTCCCCCCAGTTTTTGACTGTTATAAACAAAACTGCTATGAACAGTCATTTAAAAGTCTTTGTAAGGATATAGCTTTCTTTTCTCTTTCTCTCTTCCCTAGGAGTGGAATGGCTGGATCATACGGTAGGTATATGTTTAACCTTTTAAGAAACTGCCAAACTATTTTAGAAAGTTGTACCATTTTACGTTACCTTCAGCAGTGTATCAGCATTCCACTTCTTCCACATCCTTGTCAGCACTTGCTATTTTCAGTCTGTTTAATTTCAGTGATTCTAGTAGGTAGGTAGCAGTATTTCACTGTGATTTTAATTTGTATGTCCCTAATGACTAATGATGTAGAATATCTTTTCAGTGCTTATTTGCCATCCACACATCTCTTTGGTGAAGTTGATGCTGGCAATCGGCTAAGGGATCTCAGTTCTCTCCACATGGACCTCTCTGTGTAGTCTCTCCACATTGGCTACTCCGGGCTTCCTCATAGCATTCTGGCTTTGTCCCAAATGTGGGTGTCCCACTTGAAGAGAGAAAGCAAGGCAGAAAATGTGTCTTTTTTGTGACCTAGCCTCAGAAGTCACGTAGCACTTTTTTTTATCACGTTCATAATAGTTTACATCATTGTGAAATTTAAGTTGTACATTATTTCTTGTCTGTCACCACATAAGTGTTCCCAGCACTTTTTTGATTGTACTTTACGTACCAAGCTCAGCGTCCATGTGTGAAGGGACTAAGAAGTTATGACGCAAAGGACATGGATAAAGGGAAGCCATTAATTGGGCTACTAATCCAATTAATGTCTCATGTACCTTAGCAACGTTTTTTTAAATTGTGGTAAAAAAACCACACAAGATATACCATCCTAACCATTTTAAAGTGTACAGTTCAGAAATGCTAAGTATATTCACATTGTTGTGAAACCGATCTCCAGAACTTACTCCTCTTGCAAATCTGAAACTCTATGCCCATCAAACAACATTTCTCCCTCCCCACAGCCCTTAGTAACCACCCCTCTACTTTCCATTTCTGTGAATTTAACTGCAAGCGGAATCATACAGTATTTATCCTTTTGTAACTGGCTTGTTTCACTAAGCATAATGTCCACAAGGTTCATCTATGTTGTAGCATGTGACAGGATTTCCTTCCTTTTTAAGACTAAATAAGAGAGGCCGGCCCAGTGGCGAAGCAGTTAAGTCCACACGTTCTGCGTTGGCAGCTCAGGGTCCGCTGGTTTAGATCCCGGGTGCAGACCTACTGCACCACTTGGCAAGCCATGCTGTGGCAGGCATCCCACATATAAAGTAGAGGAAGACGGGCACGGATGTTAGCTCAGGGCCAGTCTTCCTCAGCAAAAAGAGGAGGATTGGTGGCAGATGTTAGCTTGGGGCTAATCTTCCTCAAAAAAAAGAAAAGACTGAATAATATTCCATTGATATATATATACCACATTTTGTTTATCCATTCATCTGTCAGACATTTGCCATCCAGACGAAAGACATCCATCTTTTGGCTACTGTGAACAATGCTGCTATGAACATGGTTGTACAGATACGTCTTCACGACCCTGCTTTTAATTCTTGTGGCTATACAGCCAGAAGTGGGATTGTTGGATCACACAGCAGTCCTATTTTTAATTTTTTGAGGAAACTCCATACTATTTCCCATAGCAGTTGCACCACCTTGCAATACCATCAACAAAGCACAAGCGCTCCAATTTCTCCACATCCTCGCCAACAGTCATTATTTTCTGGGTGTTTTTTTTTTTTTTTATAGTGGCCATCCTAATGGCTGTGAGGTGATATCTCATTGTGGTTTTGATTGGCATTTCTCTGATGATTAGTGATGTCGAGTATCTTTCATATGCTTGTTAGCCATATTTGTTTATCATCTTTGGAGAAATGTCTATTCAAGTCCTTTGCCCATTTTTTAATAAGGTTATTTGATTTTTTGTTGTTGAGTTGTAACGATGTTTTAATTTGTATTTTCAACAGGCACTTACAGCACCAGGTGCAGCTGAGCTGGTGCTTCAGCCTGACGAAGAGACAAGTGTTTCTGTGTATCTCGGACCCAAGTTTGTGACAATCACAGCTAGGGGATTTCTGTGGCCATTATCAACCCAAAGTCATTGCTATTAATAGTAACACTTCACCAGTGTGCCTTCCTGGTGGCCAATCCACCAGACATTACAAAAAAAAACAACACACAAAGAAAAAAGCATAATTAGGTCCTTACGTGACATCATTGGCCAACAATGTAATTGAATCCACAGTGTAATGGGCTGATTTACAAAGGGTTTTAACCTTAGAGTGTTTCAATTCCTTAATGCTCATTGTTCTCAAAAAAGTCCAGAATCACAAAAGAAACAATGACACATAATATCTGGTCTTTAACAAAGTTCTATTGAAAAAGATTACCCAACAGTTAAATGCCAAGTTACCTACCCTGTGACAAGTATTTCAAATTCAGACACACTGAGCTGTTCTGGAAAACTTGTAATTATTATCATTGACAGCTATACTGCCACGAATAGTTTCGCTGTGAATTCAAAGAGCATGAATCACATGCTACTTTCAAAATGCTACAGTCATCTGAGAACACTGTGTGTTAGAACTTCATTGGAACACAAACATCATTCTTTGTAATCTACAGCCGGGAAATGTGGTTCTTGGATGTTGAGTGAATTCCTCAATTCCCAGGCCAGACCCAGCATTTCTGGGGGAGGCTCTATAACTCCCTGACCTTTAATGGATGCTCTCTCAGCCAGGCCTGACTCGAAGCCAGGAAATGTTTAGCACGGCTTGGGCCGGTGGGTGTGAGGGTCTCTGAGAACATCTATCAGAGGAACAAACATGGATAGAAAAGACACAAAACATGCCATATTTTAAGGACATTGCTTTTCCAACACCTAGGCATGTACATAAAACCATTGTGAATGTCTCTTTAAAATAAAGTTTCTTATACAGCACAATCTGTCAGACCACTGATCTCCTCAGAACACTCACATAGAACTCTAAAGCTGTCAATGGCTCCTCATTATAAAGAGAACAAAGTCCAAATAGCTTAGCCTAGAAGTCTAAGGTACAAATACGTCCATACTATATTTCTTATCTTCTTTCTTTCTTAGTATCTCAAAATCAGGCCCGCTGCTCCAGTCAACCAGAGATGCTCCTCGTTCCCTCATTGTAGACTATGAACACCTCATTCCAGACATTTGTTCCTGCCTCTCTTACAGGCCCTGCTCCACGCGCCCTGCCCCTACTCTCCAATCTCTCTCCAATGGACACGGATCCGGCCCTCCCAGAACTCGTCTGTGTTATTCATTTGTATACTCATCCTTATAATGGCAGTTGTTTCAAGGTATGATTCCATTTGGTTCTCCCACCCCAGAAGACAGAGCTGTACCTATTAGCACAGTGGGTAGTCCAGGGCTTTGCCCAAGGTCAACATTCAGAGTCTTGTTGGGGAAAGAACCTTGGAGATCATCTCCAGGAAGGCTTCTCAAACTTTAACCTGCATATGAATCTCCTGGAGGTCTTGTTAAAATGCAGATTCTGATTCAGTAGATTTTGGGCAGAGCCTGAGATTTTGCATTTCGAATCACTTCCCAGGTGATGCCAGTGCTGTGGTACCTGGACTGCACCTGCGTGAGGCTGTGAGGGCAAAAGCCCACAGGATTGAGATGGTACACATAAATGAGCAAGTGGGCAGGGTGAGATGCAGCAGAAGGTGCTGGGGATGGTGGTGAACCAGAAGGCTCATGCTCTGTCTCAAGCGGCAGCAGCCACTCAGCTCCAGCGATAATGGAGAATCAAGATTGACACATCTATTTTTTCCAGAGAAGCTGGAAATCTGTATTAATATGTAAAATTTCCCAAATTTTATATGTGGGCAATTATTTCAAAGCCATGTTTGATTGAGAGGATCTGTACAACACATCCCTAATGATTTAAAGGGCCCATGTGTGACTGTATAATACTCTGTCTTCGCTCTTTCTGAAGTTTTAGCTTCTCTCTACACCAGGCTTTATCTATATACCAGAGTCCTTTAAACTAAAAAAAAAATTTTTTTTTTAAAGATTGACACCTTAGCTAACAACAGCTGCCAATTTTTTTTTCCTGCTTTTTCTCCCCAAATCCCCCCATTACATAGTTACATATTTTAGTTGTGGGTGCTTTTAGTTGTGGCATGTGAGACGCCGCCTCAGCGTGGCCTGATGAGCTGTGCCATGTCTGCACCCAGGATCCGAACCCGCGAAACCCTGGGCCACTGAAGCAGAGCGTGTGAACTTAACCACTCGGCCACGGGGCCAGTCCCCCCATTTGTTTTTTAATTAAAAAAAAATCTGTGGCTTAAACAATAAATATTTGACCTACTAGTTTGTGTGTAATTAGAACAAGGATTCCCAAACTTTGGGATTTTATAAGCAAGGAAAATTCCAAAAAAAATTGGAAACTAAAATACGGTACCAACATTTTATTTTGCTTAATAAGGATATTAAAAAATAATCTAGTTTCAATATCTTATTATATGAAGGACACTGCAACACCAAAACATGCTTGAAGAACATACTCTTAGATCAAAGGACAATTCTTTAAGTAGAAGAAATGGTAGCTTTATGGGAAAACTATGCTGTCCTGACTTTTCTAATTTTGTGATGGACAAGTGCAAACTTTGATTCAAATTCTGATGTTGGGGAGCCATTGATAATCTAATCTCTTCTATTTACAGGAGAAGAAATTAAGATGCAGAAAGACTATCTGACTTGCTCATTGTCTCATGCTTTAGTGGCATAGCCAGTGCTCTGCATTCTTCTTGCTGGTAGAGTTACAATTTCATGTAATTCATCTTCATAGTCAGATGGGAAAGTCTTGGGCCAATAGACATGGATTTGAATCCCAGATCAGCAAGCTCTAAGCTTCAAAGTCTTGGGCAAATTATTCAACCTCTTTGGATGGATCTCAGCTTTTTCATCTGTTACACTTACTTCATAGAGTTGCTGTGAGGACTAAATAAAACACATTTTAAGATTCTAATTTATTTTAATTAAACAAGTAAAATTGAATTAAAAATAAATTTTAAAAATTTAATTAAGTAGCGTATACAAACCACCTACCAGTGGTAACAGGCTCCTCTTGTAAAGATTGGTCAGCTTCCTCCCCAGCAAAGAGCTTCACTCAGTGAGGCCTATGTCATTGATAAAAATCGCCATTGTTAACATTATAATTATTATAATAACCATTATTATTAAGTACTAAGTATCAGGACAATGGGGTCTACTCACTACGTTTACGGAACTAAAGGGAACTTCTCAAATTATTCTTCACAAAACAAGAATGATCTGCTTGGAGCTAATTTTTCTATCCTCAGTTATCTCTAGAGGCAGCTGGAAACTTCTCTCACTAAATAAGAAATAAATATTAGTTCTCTTTGATAGTAAACACCGAGTAGGAAGAGAACAGAAGCAGCAGAGCATAATAATGTCTACCATCATATCCTTTTTCTATTTCCTCTTTTTCCACTTTTTAAAATATTTGTTTGATTGGAATGATAAGACCATGAGGACAAAGACTCTTAGCTCTTCTAGGCTCTATTTAATGATAGTATCTTTACTTGAATCATAATTTATCATTTGGAAGTCCTTAATTTCTAACTGCTTTAAATCAGGGGAAATGATCTAAATATGGGGAGAACCACAAATTGTATACCTTCTAGTCATAGATGCTAGTCATGTCCTTATCTACTCCTTACAACCAAAAATGAGAAATTATGGAACTAAGTCTTCAACAGGAGTGAATTTGGTTGTTGGAATGTTTTAACAAGAGTAGTGGTCATCTTTGGTTACCTGCTAAACATAAAAAAGATTCTATAATCTTATAGAAGAAGAAACAAAGTAAAAGTAAAACCTACTCTCTGAATTCTACACTTGTCACTAAAGTACACTTTATCGAGCCAAGTCATGGTCAAATATGTGAAATATTTTGTAAGCTATCTTGACAATTATCTTCATATTTTCCAGAAATTGGAGATCTTTGTACACGAGTTAATCATGCAGAATCCCCAAATATGCATATGCTGATTTTCTGATATGAAGCCTTTGCAATGCACACTTTATTATTGTAGAGGAGGAATAATATCCTTTTCCTCTACCCTTCTATGTTCTCAACTGACACTGCTGTAACAAAAGACGGATTAAGAACAGAAAAGCATAAAAATTCATTTAATGTAAGTTTTATGTGACATGGGAGATTTCATAAGGAAATGAAGACCGAGGAAATGGTTAAGCCCAAGTGCTTTTACGCTAGGTTTGATGAAGAGTGGAGAGTTGTGGAAAGATAAAATAGGACATAGGGTATGAGGTAACTAGTAAACTGGGGAAACTCAGCCAAGCTAAAAGTCATTCACATCCCCTCTGTGTCCCTTTGTCTTTGGAGATAAGGATGGTCCCTTTCTCCTGGTACAGGGAGGGCATAAACCTCTCACAAGAGGGTTTTATGACCTGCTTCAGGGGAAGATCAGTAAGGTGGCCCATGCCATTTCTCAAATTCCTTCAGCTTGAAATATTCAACATGCCAAGGTGCCATATTTTGGGGTAGCATGTCCTGAACCCCGTCATTATCATGCAGTTATTAGTTCTCTTCACAGAAGTACCCACGTTATTTGACTATACAAATATACTTTGCCACAACAAGTAGCAGATTTGTTCTGGGGAGTGTCTATAATCTACAGGAAGGATCAGCAAACTTTGTCCCAGGTCAAATCCAGCCCAATACATGTTTCTGTAAATAAAGTTTTATTGGAACACAGCCACTTTCATTTGTTTATGTGGCTGCTTGCCACAACAGAAGAGTTGAGAGACAGAGATCACACGGCCCTCAAAGCCTAAAATATTTACTCTCTGGCCCTTTAGAGACAAAGTGTGTTGATCCTTGATCTACAGAATAAAGAGCAATAACTAAATATGTCAGTGGATCATTACCAAAAAAGTTATCACTCCAAAAAGGCTCAGAGGATGTCACCCTAAGCCCATACACCTTTTTACCAGAAAGGCAACTGTCTTTGCTTGAAAGGTAGAGGCCCACTTTCCTAAGTTTAAGGAGATGTAAAAATGAAAGTCATAATTAAAATTTTAAAATTTGTTTTAAAATAAATAAAACTCTCTTCCTTACAAGCAGTAAGTAAAAGTGTTTTTGGCTTTGGCAATGTGGCGTAAGTGAGGATGTCATGCAAAAGGGACTGTTCTAAAACGTCCAAAACCGTGGCTCTTGAAAAGAGAAAATCAACTATGGGCATTTTCTGTAGCTCTATTTCAATAAAATTTTAATCACTTTTACAAGACTTTTTTTTTTTTACTTTTACCAGATTTTAAAGTCATGTTCTATTACTAAGTCTTCCTGATTGTTGTGGGAGGGTAGCAGATGGGATTCCATAATAAAGTGGCCTTGATCAATTTATAGCCATCAATATCATATAATTCAGCCCATATAAATGGATTATTTAGCAAAGCTTCCTTCTCACTCCAACCTACCATCATCCCAGCAGATCCCAGCAGCTGCTCAAGAAAACTATTATTTAATTAGGTAATAAATACATTCATAGATACACAAAACTACTAAATAAATACATAAATCCCTGGTGATACTTACCCTAAGCAGGTCACATAGAGGGGCCCATGTGAAAAGTAACTCAGGGCAGAAAATTTGGAGTATTCTTATCTCATGAATTTCATCTCAAGTTCATATCTTTTGAAATGTATTAACATGAAAAATTCTTAAACATAAAACAGATTTGAAAGAAAGAATAAACCCAAATCTACATTAACACGATTTTTTGTCTTCTATTCAGATTAATTAGGTATAAAATACGTACTGACCACTTAATTTAGGTGTATAACTTGATGAGTTTTGACAAATGGATACAGTTATGTCACCACCATCACAATCATGACAACAGTTCCATCACTCCTAAAAGTTCCCTCATGCCCTTTTGTAGTCAATCCCCTCCTGTTAGACCCCGCCCCTGGCAACAACTTATCTGCTCACTGTAATTTTGCCTTTTCTCAAATTTCAGGTAAATGGAATCAGACAGTATGTAGTCTTTGTGTCTATCTTCTTTCATTTAGCATAATGCTTTTGAGGTTCACCCATGTTGTTGCCTGAATAAGTAGTTTGTTCCTTTTTATTATTGCTAAATAGCATTCATTGTATGGATGTGGTTTATCTTTTCACCAGTTGATGGACTAGCAGAGTGTTTCCAATCTTGGACTATCACAAATAAAGCTCTTATAAACATTCACGTAGATTTTTATGTGGACATATGTTTTCATTTCTCTTGAGTAAATACTGAGGAGTGGAAGTGCTGGGTCATAAAGTTAGTGTAATATTTAAGTTTTTAAGAAACTGCCCAACTGTTTTCTAAAGTAGTTGGACCTTTTTACCTTCCCATGAGCAGCATGCGAGTGTTCCCTTTGCTCCACATTATTGCTGACAATTGGAAATGCCAGTCTTTGTAACTTCCGTCCTGGTACTACAATCTGCATTTCCTCAACGACTAATCACTTTGAGCACTGGCGCTTATTCGCCATTTGTATATCTTTGGTGAAATGCTCAATTTTTCAATATTCTATCCATTTTTAAAATTTGTCTATCACAAACACAAGTCCTTTATCAGGTATGCTTTGCCTAAGCTTGACTTTTCATTTTCTTAACAGTGTCTATTGAAGAGAAGTTTGTAATTCTTATCCGAGCTTTGCCCAACCCAAAGTTACTCCAATGTTTTCATCTAGAAATTTTAGTTTTAGCTCTTACACTTAAGTCTGTGATTCATTTCAAGTTGATCTTTGTGTGGCATGAGATAAGGGAGTCAAGCTTGTTTTTTTTTTGCAATATAGCTATGCGTTTGTTCTAGAACCATTTGTTGAAAAGACTTTCCTTTCCCCCTTGAATTACTGTGTTAGCTTTGTGAAAAATCAAGTGACCATAGTTGCACAATCTATTTCTGGACTCTCTATTGTGTTCCACTGATACACATATAGCCTGACACCAAAAGCACATTATCTTAATTACTGTAGCTTTATAGTGTTTCTTGCAATCAGGTAGATAGGAATCCTACAGCTTCATCCTCTTATCAAAGTTGTTTTGACTATTCTAGGTCCATTTGCATTTCTACATAAATTTTAGACTCAGTTTGTCAAATTCTATCAAAAAATGGCTGCTAAGCACTTTGATTAGGGTTTCCTTTAATCTATAAATCAATTTGGGGATAATTGACATCTTAACCATATTGAATCTTTCATCCAAGAACATGGTCTCTCTCTTCATTTTAGATCTTCTTTGATTTCTCTCAAAATGGCTTGTAGTTTTCCATGTTCAGGTCTTGCACACATTTCATTAAATTTATCTCCAAGTGTTTCATGGTATTTGATGCTATTGTAAATGTTATTGATTTTTTCGATTTTCAATTGGTTGCTCTTCATATATAGAAATCAAAATATTTTGGTAAATTGACCTTGTATCCTAGAACCTTGCTAAGCTTATTAACTGCAGTATCTTATAGATTCCTTATCATTTTCGACTTACACAATCATGTCATCTGCAAATAAAGACAGTTTTATGTGTCTTTCTTTCTAATTTGTATGTTTTTTATTTCCTTTTTTGTCTTGTTGCACTGGCTAAAATCTCCAGTCAATATTGAATACAAGTGGTGAGAACAGACATTCTTGCTTTGTTCAGTGCATTAGAGAGGAAGTATTCAGTCTATTGCCATTAAGGATGATGTTAGGTTTAGGTGTTACGTAATTACCCTTTATCAGGTTGAGCAAGTTCTCTTTTATTTGTAGTTTGCTGAGGTTTTCTATCACAAATGGGTCCTGAATTTTGTCAAATGCTTTTTCTGAATGAAATGAGATGATATGGTTTTCTTTTTTGACTCCCAGTGTTTAATTACATTGATTGATTTTCAAATGTTTCCTCTAAGGTATCAATTTCATTGGCATAAAATTTTTCATGATTCTTTTCTTTTAATGTCTGTAGGATCCATGGTGATATGGCCCCTTTCATTTCTGATATTGATAATTCCTGAGTTTGTTTTTTCCTATCAGTCTGGTTAAAGCTTATCAATTTTATTGATATTTTCAAAGAGCCAGCTTTTGATTTGATATTTTGATTTTCAGTTTTCTATTTCATTCATTTCTGTTATCCTTACTGTTTCCTTCCTTTCTTGGATTTGCAAGTACTTAAGTTGGAAAGTTAATTAATTTGAGACCTTACATTCTTTCTAACATAAGTGTTTAAAGCTATAAATTTCCCTCGAAGTATTGCCTTAACTGCAGCCCACAAACTTTGGTATGTTGTGATTTTCATTTTCATTCTGTTCAAGATATTTTCTAATTTCTCTTGTAATTTATTCTTTGGCACATGGACTATTTAAAAATGTGTTGTTCTTATCTTTCTGTTATTGATTTCTAGGTTAATTCCACTGTGGTCAGAGAATACACCTTGTATGGTTTCAATCCCCCTTAAATTTAGTGAGACTTTTCAGGAGCAGGGGTACCTTTTCCTTGCTCCCTTTCCCCTTCTGCTGTTTGGACACAGATGACAAGGCCCTGGGTGATGATGCAGCTACAAGATGGAAAAAATCTCATACTTGAATCACCACATAGAAGAGAGAAGCACACTTACCTGGAACACCCATCCTGGTCTATACGTGAGCAAGAAAAAAATTCTATTGCTTGAACCATTAGAGGTTTGGTTGGTTGTTACAGCAGTTTAGCTTACCCTGATTAAAATGCCGCTTATCTCTTTAAGGTTCCCCTTTCTCCTCCACTACCCTGAAACTGGGTTTTCATGAGACATGTAACCTGCATGTTAGTTCATACTATGCAAAGAATACCCACCACATCTATTCAACTATTTTCATATGTTCTATTAATAAAAACTTCATATGAATATAAATAAATACATGTGAAGTCTATTGCATCAATCAAGGTTCTTTTTTAAAAATAAATTTTTATTTAAGCAGAGCATACATACAGAAATGTGCAAAAAATAAATATACTATCTATATATACATTATATATAATACATATATCTGCAGAAATTTACAAATCTGTCTACACCTGGGGCAGTCTCTTCCTTTCCATTCTTTCTTTCTTACTTGCGATTCTTGGAGCCCTAGTTACTGAGGAAGTCAAGAAAATGAGATAAAAGGGCATCCAGAGTGTGTAACAGAGAGGCCCTTCCAAGAAGTCTGAACTCAAGGCTAGAAACTCAAAGCCGGTCCTTTATGATTGCCGACATGCAGCTCAATTCCCCTGCCACACTCCTCCAAGTGCCGCCTTCTCCCGTTTTTTAAGGGAAAGAGGATATAATACACATAGGGAAGAATGTAAAGAGAGAAGCTACATTGTCTCCTTTCTCAGAGCAAACACAAGGCTCCAGGGCTGCCACTAGCCCGTTTGGCATCTTTGGCAATTTAAAAAAACTCTCCCCAAAGCACTCCTTTCTGGAATCATTTTACTTCCACCTGTCAGATATTTGTTGCAATATAACTATACTAATTTTTTTAGTAAGAACACTTTCCTGCTACTTGCCGGAAACTTGTGATATGATAAGTCCCCACAGCCTTTGATGTGAATAGCATCCTTCTGCATGTGGCACTGTTTTGCTCTTCCCAGTCTACATGCTGCACTTGGCCATAGGCTGTCAGCCAAGCTGTAGTTTTAATACTTTTTTAATGCATTTGGGTTATTTTTTAAAATATTTGTTTACTGAAGAATCACATACATGCAGAATAAAAAAGGGAGATGTACCTAAAAAAAATAACAAAAACAAGAAACTAACAGTTTGCACAGGAAGAAATGTAAGAATGCAAGAATGTTCAGAATTTCAGAAATGCATAAATGATGCAAAAAACCACCATAAACATAAATAAACACCAGAAATTTTCATGTACCTATAGGAATAGGGTCAAAGTGAAAATTTCAAATAAGTTGACTTACATAGAAGTGATAGGGCCAATAAGAACTTTGTTTCCTATTTTATGCTGAAAACAAAATATACTGAAAATCTAAGAATATTTCTGGGTGGCCCACTGTAAGTTATTACAGAAGTGTGGAGTAGTGCACTGGCCACAACGTCAGAAAGGGTGACTGCCATTCCAACTTTGGGAAGAGGTAAAAGATGGTGAAAATTTGATACTGGTCCCAGGCAAGGCCCTAGAATAGACCCTTATTATAATGATAATGTTTTTTAAGCCTTTAGGAAAGAACACAGTTCACTCTGAATCAGCAGATTTGACTTAACTTCATGAACTTTTGGGGCAGTTACTCAACTAACATTAGGGAAATGCAAGACTTCAGCAAGGAATGTAAGATCCTATGATATCCTTACAGATAACTCTGGGGACAAATGGGCAGATAGATGGACCAGTTAATCGCTGAAATTCTTACCTAAAGGGTGTTGATTAATACGGTCAGTGGTCAATTCATATCACGCTGAAGAGAAGTTTCTGAGGCCTTCTACAGGCTGTTGTCCTCAGGCTTGTTTCATTCAATATAGATTTACATATCAAACTTTGGAGTGATCAGAAAGAAAAAGACAGCAAATCTATCTTGGACGAATCCAAAAACATCTCAATAGGTTAATGAATCCAACACAAGAAAACTTCATAAGAATAAAGGAAGGTCCTGCAAACTAGGTTAAACAAAACACCAACCGCACAAGTGCAGGATGGGGCAAGAATGCTTAACAGCAGGAAAAAACCTCAAAGGACTCCAACAATATCATGTGGGTGTCAGAAAAGCTAGTCCAATATCTGGATGTTATACAGAAGAAGAATATTAACTAGAACAAAGGACATGACAGTTTTGCTACCTATAAATGTTCAGTTCTGGGTCGTATACTTTAAGAAAGATAGAGAAAACCAGAGCATTTGGAGAAAAGGGTCTTGGATGGTAAAGACAACTGAAGCCACGATATATGATGAGTGAATTGACTGGGGATAGGAAGGAGAAGATACTGGGAGTCATCACAATACGGTAGTTAAATGTCTGGCCCCAAGAGTTAATAAGACAAATGAAGGGAAGAAACAGAGAACCAACTAGGATGGCAGAGCTGCCCAAAGGTGGAAGTAGATTCTGGTCCCCGAAGAGTCAGACTAGAGGCTGCTAAAGGACCATCTGGTATTCAGGTTTTCTCCAACTTTGAGATTCCAAAAGTATAAAGATCTGTTCAGCTATACAATTTATTACTCTATCTTTGAAGAACACACAACTGACAATTCTTTAGAACTACGGCTATGTTGAAACTTTGGAGGATGAAAAACTACAAACCATTCAGTTTGCTTTACTGGCCACTTTTATCTCTCAAAGGGACAAACATTTGTGTGTGTGTTGCTCCGCCGGCCCCCAGTTTTACTGAGATATAATTGAAATGTGTGTGTGGCTTTTTGATGTGAAATCAGTCTAGAAAATGTAGTTTCCACTAGCGTTAAAGCAATCAGCACGGACGTGTAAATTTTTGATGGTGAAAGACGTTTCACTAGTATAGTGTAGTACACTGTTATACTATAATAGGGATCATTCTGTCTTATTCAGCAGATTCATACATATCCCACCCTGAAAAAGCCCAAAGCCCTAAAAAAATTATATATAAAAATAGAGATATAAAAATTCTATCTATATTTGTATATATATGTATTTATATGTGTGTGTACACACCCACACCCACACCCCCCCAATACAAACATGGGTTATTAGAAAGGAACTTCTTCCTTTTCAAAGATAATTTTATATAGCCAGTCTTCCAGGTGCATTTAACTTATGGTTTTATTTATACAATTTAGGTTTCCCCTAACTATCCAGCAATGTGTGGCGTGAACCTAACTCTAACCAATTACAATTTTGTCAGTTAAAGGTGTCTCAGTACACTACAAGCAAGCTCCAGTCATAATTACTATATTGCCAAGATTCCCGAAGTCCATTTCAACATTCATTCTCAGAGATTATACAAAATATGAATAAATCCATGCAACACACTAAAGAAATTCGTTATTCCACATAACTACACCATGGAATTATCCAGAGATCAAAAAAACGAAAGGAAACTTTTCCATGGTTTTCTCTAAAGGAAATCACTTACTGTCAAAATTTTTACTATATTATCTCCTAGAATATTTTTATCAATTTTCTTTGGAAAAGCAAGAATTAACCTTGGTATACCTTTCTGATCAAGGACCAAAGATGTGTCCCTTTTTTCTTACCATATTTTTTGTACCTTTCAATCTCAGAGTGGAAATATAATCTCTTAGAAGGAATGTGCACAGTTACAGCCATTTACCGCTTCCTGATTATACAAAAGTAAATTAACAAATGGAATTATAATAAAAGGTACAAGAGGGGAGCTACCCAGGTGATGTGATATTGTCCCAAAGTACTATTGTGTGGCCACTGGGAAAAGTATCTATGAGAGAACACTTGAGTAGATTCCTTCTATGATAAAGAAATTCACTACCTTCTATATTTCTAAACATGTATCTTTGAAGTCATCTAAATTAAGCAAAGTGTCTACTTTAAGAGGGTTATTGAGATTTGTATTCATGTAGAACAAGCCAGTTACAAACCTACTTCACTTTACATTAACTATAAACACCACAGCTCACTTCAGAAGAGATCTGGGCATCTTAAAAACCAGGGTCACAAGATGCTCTTACACAAACATTTAGAAATCCAGTAACTTGATTTAAATGGTGCTTTCAGGAGAAAGGAAACAATAATGACAGATTAAAGCCTGCCTTTAACCATGAGAGTCCCTGGAATAAAACCAAAATTACTGCCAAGAAGCCACAGGTGTTTATTATATAGACAAAGAAAAGCATGACTTTGAAGGGCACAGTGACAGTGCTTCTCTGCCTCCACTAAGGGGCTGTAAGATTAAAGGTTAATAGCAGCATAAATACTATAATTACATAATGCTGGGTTCATTTGTCTTTCAGGCTTACGAAAAAACCTTTTTGTCCTTGTACTTTTAGGGACTTGGAAGGTCTGCCAGCCACTGCCTTTCTTGTCACCAGAGCTCTCAGCGGGTTTACAAATGGACGTGCCCAAGACTGCCATCTGGTGGAAATGCTAGAAATTGAAACGATTTTTTGTAAGTGATTCAGTCAGTTACCTACTAAAAAGTATGAATTAAAAATATATTGGAGGAAAAACAGTTCATAACAGCAGTAATAAATATAAAATAATAAGGAATTAACTTAAGAAATATAGAACATATATGGAGAAAACTACAAAACTTTACTGGGGGCATTAAAAAACACTCATTTATATAAACAGAAAGATGTAGAATTTTCCTAGAATGGAACTCATCTCTGCTAAAGAGTTCAATGACCCCCAAATTAATCTACACATATAACAACTCAACATTAACAGGATTTTTATTCAGCAGGGAAATCTTGGCCAAATTATTCAAAAGTTCGTCTGGAAGAATAAACATTCAATTTCTGTTAATGTAGACTAATAAGGGAGCCCTTTCCCTACCAGATAATAAAATGTATAATAAAACTATGATAATGAAGATGTCATACTAATACACAATACAAAGCAATGAAACAGAATGCCCATAAAAATACAAGCACATACAAAAATATATAGTAAAAGGGCATTTTCAAATAAATGAGAAAAGACTGGCTTATGTATTAGCTGGTGTGAGGGGATAATGGAAAATATTACATTAGATTTTTGCCCTGTAGTAATACCCAAATAAGTTCCACTTATATATTTATAATAAAAAAGGCCAAAGTCATAAAAGAAAATGTATGTAAATATTTACTTACTCAGAATGTGAAAAGATTGTCTATGTATACAACTGAAGGTGGAAACTGTTAAAGAAAATGACAAAATTCTAAAACTTTTGAATGTAAAAAACCAAGACACTTCTCAAAATTCATCAAATTAAACACCTAAGATCTTTGCAGTTTACTGTATACAAATTTTACTTCAATATTTTTTAAAAAGTAAAACAAAAAATAAACTCCACTATTTTTGACTTAAAACACTATATGAAAGGGTGAAAGCAAGTATTTTTGACCAAGAAGAGGTATCCAACACTCTTCAGATCAGAGCATCTTAGCTCTCTCTAGAGCCTCTCCAATCATAGTGAGTAGAAAGTCTATTCTGTCTGTAGGGAAAGCTGGCACAGAAACAAAATGTTATTGTGTAAGAAAAAGCACAGAAACAGAGTAGCATGACATAGGATCTGAGGCGGGGAGGGGGGAATCCACATGCTATTGAGCTTGTAGTTTTTAAAAAATTAAGCCATTTCATTATTGCTAGATGTGCTTTGTTCTTAGTCCCATCCCTCAACGTTCTTATTTAAACAAACAAAGAGTATTGAAAGGCAAGTGGTGAACTGGGGAATTCGGGACATGTGACAAAATAATGGTTAATTTCCTAAAAATATAAAGAGCTCTCACAAATCAATATGAAAAATGATAAATGTGTTAATAGAAAATAAGCAACATGTGAACAGGCTTTAATAAAAGACATATAATTAGCGAAAATATGAGAAAAAAATGTTTAACCTCACTAGTAATGAAATAATTGAGAATCAAATCAAGAAAATATCATACAGTATTTTACCCACAAGATTGGCAATGTACAACACTGGCGAGAAAGCAGAAAACAAGGGCATTTTTGTATACTGTTGGGATTATAAATTGGTACCCTCTTCCTGGAAGGCAATTCAGGGCCACTTCATTTAGTCTCTGTATTTTATTCTTTCATTCAAAATTTTATAAAAAATTCAAACATAAGAAAATTACAGAAAAGAATATAATACACCCTTACCTACTACCCATATGTAACAGATGTTATCATTTTGATATTTTTATTTTTGAGGGTGGAGAAAATAAAAATCTCACTTCCCAATGCTTCTGAAAAAGTAACCACTGTCCTAAATTGATGTGTATTATTTCTATGCTTTTTTTTTTTTTAAAGATTGGCACCTGAGCTAACAACTGTTGCCAATGTTTCTTTTTCCTGCTTTTTTCTCCCCAAATCCCCCCAGTACATAGTTGTATATTTTAACTGTGAGTCCTGCTAGTTGTGGTGTGTGGGATGCCGCCTCAACATGGCCTAATGAGGGGTGCCATGTCCGCGCCCAGGATCCGAACCCTCAGCTGCCGAAGCAGAGTGTGTGAACTTAACCACTCGGCCACGGGGCCGGCCCCTCTATGCATACTTTATACATACTATGCATGTATAAATTGTCATATGACATAAAAAATGTCATAATTATGTGTGACTAAGAAAAAATGATGCCAAATAAACTATGAAACAATGCTTTAATAAAAGATTTATACCTTTGTGATAGGTTTTTTAGACTTTAAAAAAAATCTTGTCATTTCTGTTTTGCTTACACAGTAACTTTCCTTCTATGTTAAATCAGTGTAATCATTTTGAAGACACTTTAAACAGCATTTAAACTTAATACATGTAGTCCCAACAGTGTACAAAATCCAATTATGTGAAATATGAATAGCTATGACCACATTGGTGCAACTATGCCATGACAGCTGCCTAGCCAACAGCAACTGTAAGACACCATTGACCTAAGATGTTTCTCAACTTCAAAGATATGGAAACATGAAAAGTGCATTTTGGGATAAATTTTGGAGCTTTAAGCTTCTACAAAACAACATCCTTTTGGACCTTGAGGATTCTCTCAGCACTAAGTTTTCAAAGCATTTAAAGATGGCTCACTGCCTAAGGAACAAAGCCAGTAGCAGTTAGCTACTTCTGGAGCACAGGATTTTCTTCTTAGCCCAGCCTTCCTCCATTTCACTACGTGGTGCAGAGAAAACTGTTTTATGCTAAAGGATACTAGTAGGTTGAGTTATCCCCCTGTGGTAACATCTGCCTTAAATCAGGCCCAGGAATTTACATACTTACCAACTGGGACTATGGTGATGCAAGTGAGGCACACTTGCCTTGGGGACAAAATATAAGGGGTGCCAAAAAATTCAGTAATCAAGATAAACATTTTAATGCAACATTTAAAAGAATCAAAATTAATGCATAAACCATGACCAAAATATCAAAATTTGCAATAAAGACAGAATCATTATTACTGAATTTTCCTTTTGCCTCAGGCTCCAACATAGCATGGCAGGGCACTGTTACTGGTCCAGCCTTGTAGGGGAAGGAGAGCAGTCAGCAGGATTAATGTGGTACCTCACTACAGTTTAAAAGATTAACTTGAAGATATGCGCACCCTACAACCCAGTAATTTTATTTCTAGGCAAATACTAGAGAAACACTAGTATGTGTGCTCAAGGGACACAAGCCCAGACGTTCATTGCATCAGTTTTTTAACAGTAAGAAGTTGCAAATAATCTAAATATCCCTCAGTGTGGAAATGGATAAATACTTTATGGTGTAATCACACAAAGGAATACTATACCAGTTTGTTTTTTAAATTTGTTTAACCTTTAGCTTGTTTTATAGAAGAGGGGGATGTAGAGGGAATAACATGAGCAGATAAACTGAAACCTGAGGCTGGGAATAACACTCTTTCCTCCCCACAATACCCCCTGCAAAATCAAAACGAACTCAACACAGCAGGAGGAGTGCAGGGGAGGGGTGCTGGGTGACTGATCTCTAGGGCAGGTGATGTCTGA